TTATCGTTATAGCGGTTGAAAAAGGTGGTACCTTCTTTACTGGGAGCCCTTTTTTGTTTGTTATAGTTTCCCTCCCAAAATGTGCACAGTGGTCTACCTTATGGTAATGATTATTATAGCAAATGTACAGGACGGAGGGCATCGAGTATAGTGGGGTCTCGCAGCTATCGGTCGCTTGGTTTGCAGGTTATTTTATACCTGTAAAAAATAAAATATTCAAAAATAATGGTCTGTAATGGGAATTGTGTTTTAACCGGTTTTTTGTTAATCATCGCGACGGTGTCAAAAAGAATATTACGACTACATATTGTGTTAAAAAAAAATTACATTTGCAAATTTTTTTCCTGGAATAAACTGAAAGTGGGAACAAACAACGACGATATTATACGCTATGAATAGGTACGTTAAACGTGTAAACAATTTTCATATTTTATCTATTGTTTTTCATCAGTTTGTATATTAAGCATGTTTTTGTAAATAATTATTCTTTTTTTACGCCAAAATCCGTTCATTTCAGTAGTAAAAAAATACAAAGTATATAATGCTCGGTTAGTTATCGAAACTAACATTGTAATTTATTTAATTCCAGCATAAAAATAGTAATTATATATTTAGTTGAAATTGTAATTAAACGTATGGCGCGTTTATGGAAATTACAATATTTTGCTTGCTAACTCCAAATTTGTTTCATAAAAATTTGTATTTTACTCTCGTGTTTTGATTTGAAAAAAAAATTGTTTTTCAGAAATAAACTGCGCCGATCGTGTGTTGTTTGTAAACGAAAACAAAATACGTTTCATGTAAAATGTACATGAAAATTGAATCTGTTTTTCCCATATCGCCGTTGTTTTTTTGAAATTATTCAGGTGTTCCTGTGCGTATTGTTTAGTTAGGCTTTTATTGTTGGCAACTTTCTGAAAAACAAATTGAAACTCGAGGTTTTAAGATACCGCCGCTCAAAACATATTTTTCGAAATACGAATCAACGTTTTTTACTTTTCAGACTAGAATTGGCCGACATTAAAGTCTTTTTTCCATTTTGTTTTCCACATTTTTTTTTTTTTTTTTTTTTATTCTTGAGACCTTGGCGACTTATGACAATAACGTCGTCCCATTTTTTACACATCTGATCAGTCCGTTAAAAGATTAACATTGCAATATTTTATAATAAGGCTAACCTTTGCAGTGGTGATGCTATACGTACGTATACAGTTCAAGTGATTAATAATATTAACCGATTTAGTTAGTTAATGCGATAGCAGTATAATGTAGGTGTATGCATTTAAACAAAACCTATAATATTGAATTCGCCTAGTTGTCTGGCATAATAACACTACCGGCTGCTGAAAATCTGTGTTTGTATAATTTTGTTTTGTATTTATTTAAAAAATTCGTATGGGATATTGTTTAGATGCAACACTAGTTGAAAACCCCCCCAAAAAAACCCTCTTCCACAAAAGGGGTGGAATTTTTTTTTTTTTATTCAATTTTTGCGAAAAAATCACCCCCTCTACAAAAAAAAGGCAAATTTCACATTGACTATTAAATTATCGAAATTGATGTTAATGTGTGAATGAATCAATAGTTATCAGCCATTTGGTAAAAAATGATTAGTCTAGTCGGACGATCATCCCTAATCGTGTATCCACCCTAATAGAAAATTTCCTTCTGTGTTAAATTCAAGAAGGATTTAATATTTATACTAAATAAAACTAGGAGGTTGTTACATCCATCTGTGTCCACCCTCCAAAACTAAAAATACAATTTTAAGCAAATCAATGTCTTTACGATGGTTTTTGTCGACATTCAAAATTTGTCTACAATCTACAAAAAGCATTTTTTTAGGTGTACATTTTTTTTTATTATGGAATTCTAATTTAAAATTTATAAAAATAATAATGTTTTGGTTGTTCGGTAATTATAAAATTTTAAACAATACAATAATATGGTCATTGTTTGGTAATATTATATTAACGTTCCCGAAATCAACTTCGGGAAACAAAACACATTTTGGCAAATAAAATTCGTCGTCGTCTTGGTCATACACACAACGTGCAATAAGAATTATACTATAATACAATACAATACCGAGTGTACCTGTATGTATATATGTTAGACGACTAGAAGGGGACGTTTCGCTGACGGCGTTGTACGTACACTGTGAGTTGTTTGCTGTCCAAGAAACACACACACACACACACACACACAGTAACGCGTCATTGTCAATGATTCTTATTAGTTTTCGCTTTAACCTACAAAATACAAAAAAGAACAGAGGCTTGAACATGGGTAAGACCGCCAGCCGACGTTAAATGCAAAAGAAATAGAGATAAGAATCGTTTTGAAACATAATTTTTCACAATGTTTGGAACTGTACCTGCTGGTTAAGGCACAAATTGATACTGTAGGTTTTAACTATACTAGTTTGGAATGTACTGGTTAACACTGTACTTGGTTTGTGCTATATTTGGTTAATACTGTACTTGGTTTATGCTATATTGATCTAGACTGTACTAGGTTTTTTTTTTTAATCAATTATAGTACAGCAGTTTCTGTTTTTTTTCTTATTCTGGGATGACGTGTTCGTGTACAAACAATTTTTGCAAATAAAAACAACAACTCGGTTAGACCTTGGACCAGTCAAGGTTTCCTCCTCGGCTAACTTTGATGTTCTATCTCGGCTAACCGATTTTTTTTTCCATGCTCGCAACGGTTATCGTTTTGTAACGTTTTTCTATGCCACTTATTTTCATTTGAAATGACCTTTTAATTTTTTTTTTGCCAACTAAATACCAAACGCGCGACGCATGCGGTCTAGTCACTTTCTCGGCAACGGTGCACTAGAAAACGTCTTGACAACGTTGTAGTAAGTAAAATTGTTTTTATTCGATAGCCTATTTCGGTGTCGATCTCAGAAGCTGTTGGGTATTTCCTAAACGGCGTGTTTTGTTTTCAACCAAGTCTTGGACAGTTTAAATGTAAACAAAAACGTGGCGACCATGTTCTAGATACCTGCTATATTCATATTAAATTATATCTATACACAACCAAAAGTAATAATTTATCATCATTATAGCAGGTTTAAAATATTTGCCGCTTCGTTTTTGTGCGATAAGTATTTTCCCCGTGTTAATTTTTATCAGTGTTTTTACTCCAACTATCTAAAGACACTGTGACAGCCCCGTTTGCGCTAACTAATGCTTAAATTATTTAAGTAGAGTTTGACCTATAGTTACCTATTAACATATAGACTACCCATGTTCGTGATGTAAGATTTAATAATTTGTTGCACCAAAACCCCCACCGTGGAACAGCCGAGTGAAACGCATCTTGTGTGGCTATGTTTAGCACATATATAAATGATATACATAAATAAAAAATTGCTGTCAAGGGCATTGCTACGATAATCCGAAAGATAAATTAAGATTTTTTTAATAGTGGTACGAAGTCCTCATCCATTCCTCCATAAACACTTAGAACAAAATAACTTGTACAGAATAGGTTTGGTTCATAACATTATAGAATAATATACACATAGGACAATTCCAATAGAATCGAACAACAACATAGTGTTTCTAAACGGTTGTCTAGCAATATGCAAATTAATAACAATAATAAAATCTAGTATTTTCCTTGTTATTGTTGCAATAACGTATTTAATTTAATATAAACAAACTCACGAACCAAGCAAAACTTAGAGGGTTAAAGGTGAGTAATTCTAGGTTATAAATAAGTAAACAAGTCGCGATATTCTACACAATACCATGATGAAAACATTACACTGCCTAAAACTACCCTACACTTAAAATCAATATAACACCATCAGATTTACAAGTAATTATTTATAGAAAAAAAAACCGTTGTGTGTTTAATGTATTAGTTTTCTTAATGAAAAGTTTATTATATATATTATATTGTACATACGTAGATCTAATCTAATGTGACCCAATAATCTTTGCTGCCTAGGGTTTTTTTAATCAATAAAAAAAAAAATTAATATATATATAAAATAAATATCTGAATTATTGTTTGAAACCTTTCTTCCGAGTTCATCTTAAAAAAACATAGGGCTCCTGGCCGGGGCGAACGGTCAAGAATTCAATGGTTTATTTTCTGTCTACTCAACGCACACCAGATATTATACAACATGTAATAATATAATACAAAATAGACGGAAATCAATTTTGCCACAGCTTTGTTCTTTACACAACATAATAAATATACTACACGAGTATAATAATATCATAGTTTTATGCAAAGTCTATACATAGTATATTATTATCAAACAACTCTTTTCATTTTATCTCATTTCATCAAATTTTTTATCATTATTTTTTTTTCAATACATTTTTTTAGCCATCGTTTTCTTTATATTATTATATAATAATTTTTATACTCGCCTTTTTTAATTAACACGAAACGGTTGCTGCTCCGGTAAAGATAATAATATTACTGTGTAAATTGTATTTTATTTCTGAAATATATAACAATATTATAGCTATTTCAAAATTCAAATTATATTTTATTGTTCGGGGGTTGCTAGACAACATATGCATCATACGCATAAAACAGCCCAAAAAGACTAAACATTTTTATAGATTTAATTTTTTTGGTGAAAGATTTATATTGACACTGAATGATCTTATTTTCACTTGTAAAGTTTTGAGTGCAACAAACACCATTGAAATCGCGCCAATGAATTGACGATTGATAGGCAGCAATCGATGTGTCTATGATATTATTATTCGATTGTACAATTATTAATATGATTAATATAGTGGTCGTATCGACGCAGTTAGTTATAACCACACGGTTGGCACCGGTCGAGACAGGTCGGCCGCCGTCGCCGTGTAAAAAAAAAAACATCTACAACGTACCGCCGCCGCCGCCGCTGTGTCGTTACCCCTTCCCTCACCGGCCGGGCCCCGTTCGTTCGGCTACCTCGTTGTTGTGTCACGCGTTGACTGCGTTGTTGTGGGGTCGGTCCGAGCCGTGTCGACCATGCCAGCTGCTGTTGCTGTTGCTGCTGCTGTTGGTCGAGACGGCACGTTATTATTGAAGCCCTCGAATCAATAGCGCTGCGACGTTGCCGGGTTTCTCCGCCGTTTCACCGCTGCGCCGGGTCCTATAACGGATTGCGCTCGGTCACGCGCCATTTTCTCCGTGCACGCCGACCGTGCAGTGTGTACCGCGCTGTAGTAATATCTGTACTCTATTTACAAAACAGTGGTTTCCAAAATGCCGCGCACTAGCTTCACAATCGGTTTCGCCCTAGGGTACGGTTGTTACCGTGGTGTTCGATCACTAACCGCGTTATAAAACGTTTTGTGAAGTCTTACACGTTACAGTGTCGGCTACGCAGCTGAAACAGGTACGGGTATTTGTTTTTTTTATTAAACAGGGGTTTCCAAAATGTACAATTTTTTTTCTTAAGTTTAAAATAAAATTAACTCTACGTTTGAAAACACGGTATGTTCGACCATCATCATCTGACGAGTAACTTGTAGAACGACCGTTTTATATCTTACCAATGTTAACAAATTAAAGCTCATCAAACGGTAGATAATTTCTACAGGGGTTTCCAAAATATATACTGATTTTTTTTAAAGTGAAAATTAAATTAACTCGACATTGAAGAAAACTGTAGATATTTTGCAGTGCCAATGTTTTCAACGATATAAATACCGTCAAATAAATTGTAAAACGGGTTACCTGTTTTATGTTGTCAGTTATGCAATTATATATATACATGTTAGTTTTTTAAATTTTATTTACCGATAAATATTTGTTTAAAGGTACTCGATGATCAAATTTTTTTTTTTATACTTTTTTTATTTAGTATGTTTATAGTATAAAATATATTTCGATTTTTGTTGGTGGTCACACTACCTTCAGGCGGAACGGTCGCTCTATATTACTCTATGCCACAATACATAGAGTAATATTTCGCATTGACACGACAAGTATTAACACACAAGAGAGTAACACACAAAAAAAAAAATTGACAACCTGTTCTCATATTTTACATGTGAAATCACGACAGAATAATATTACCTTAAATCGTGGTGATAATTAACAATAAACGATAACACAAGTAGCGAAAACACATTTATTTATACCAATTATCGTAGTATAGAACAACTGATAACACTATTTTCATAAATGAATTTTTGGTTTTTACCGTATTAATAATATAACAATATTATAAACTAATGGGTAATCCAAAAATAAAAGGAGTGCCTATAAGCAGGCGTTTTTAAGTAAACTAGGAACCAGGGGTGTCCAAAATACACACGGGTTTTCATTGGGGCGATTAAAAGTGTGAGTCAGCAACGTGCTGCTGCGTTGTTACTTATTTAGGAAATCTGGAAAAGCAGTGAGACATTTTGGTCGTTTTTCTAAAAGAAAACGTTTCCCCGAACAGTTTTGAAAATCGGTCAAAAAGTCCAATTTTCTATTGAATTCAAATTTGTCCCACCTTAATTAAATAACTACTTAACCTAACCTAATCTCGGCGGGTACTTAGCGCTCCCTACTTCACTTATTTTATTAACCGAAATTTTAAGTTTGATGAGGTAAGTTAGTAAGAAGAGTTCAGTGATCACTCTATGTGATCAAGGTGTATGCCGTATTTCTTTAATTTTGTTATTAGTTCCATAAACCAGTCGTACAATCCTGTAAGGCGGCATTCACTCACTACCGTCGAGCAAAAAAAAAGATACTATAAGGCAGGTCGTTCCACTTGATGAAGAGTTTGATGTATTTTATTTTGTATAGTTAGTATTTGTTACAAATTGACCAAAGGTGAATAATTGTAAACTACAATAATAATAATTCTGGTTAGGACGTAATCGTCTATGTAATTGTGTTCATGTGTGTTAAATTGTACTATTTAATATGGGATAGGTATTATTAGAAACGAATTCATCACTAATGAACTCTCATTTGAACCAGTTATTTTTCTTAACGTTGTACGTGTAAAATCTTGTTGTGTCACGCGAGATAGTTAAATAATGTTTCTACAATATTCTGTTTTAATAGATAAAACAGACACGGTGCTAAGTAAAACAAAATGTAGTTCTTGTGCACACTGTTCAGTTGTATGACACCAGTACTATTATCATTTACATTAAACCAATAATTGTATAATGCTATTGTACGTTTGTTGACTAACGTTTCAATCCATAGTATATATGTTTACAAGAAAAAATATGTTCGAACATACGATTCAAAAAAAGTCGCGCATAGAAAAAAGTCGTTCTTCTTTATAATAAAATAAAATTCTACTTGTTCACGTTGCAGATACAAGATGGGGTGGTCCAAGAAGGAGGTCGACCGCTTGATGTACAAGGCTACTCAAAGAGTCTTTGTTCAAGTAGAGAATTTGAATAGCGAACAAATCGCTCAACTCATAGCGTAAGTAGCTTTTATTGAATAAAAAAATGTAATAAAAATGATGTTACTCAAAATGTAATATGGTATAATTCAATGATAAAACTTTATCGAGTATTTAAACAGTAACTGGGTCGTTTGAGAAAAAGTGGTGACTTTCAGTACTGAAATATAATCTTATTCCAATGTCGTTTTTATTCGACTATGTATGTTTACATTAAACTTTGGTACAAACCAGCAGTATGAGAAAATGGCTACTATTTTATATTTTTAGTTGAGTTATTCAAGTATATTAATGTACATTTTTTTGACCTGACACAACCTAAATAGACAGATTTTGAGACATGCCAAAAATAGTGATAATATAAACAAATGTACCACTTTCGGTGAAAATTACCTAACTAATAACAATTGTTAGATTTTTATTTGCATTATTCGAAAATAGAACCACGAACAACGTCATTACGAGACAAAAATTGTTTATTTATTTTTATCCAAGTAAATTTTTGATTATGTAAAGGATTAAATATCAATTGACAAAAATGTACAAATTTTTTAAAGTCATCAATAACTATTAGCTATCTATTTGAAAACTTGAACAAGATTCATTCGATATTTTCTTAGAATTCAGATTAATCGGGCAGTACTAAAATCTCGAAGCAATGACTGTAAATAGGTACAACTGTGAAATTTTGTATTTTCATATATATGTATATTTTTTTTAGCAATTTGAAAACCAAAAAGGTTGAAACGCCCCCTCGGGATATCGACGAATCAGACGAACCTTGTGCTAAAAAGCAAAAATTCAACGACAAAGGAAAAGATGTACTGAAGCTAGTGTTATCGCGTGAGGGCGAAAGCGATACGTTTAAATCGAAATTCAAGTCTACTCTTTACAGTCGCATAGTCGACGAATCTTCTGACGACCCATCGTCGCCTTATAGTGCTAACGAAGCAGAATTAGAAAACCACGCCCAATATGGAAACGGCGGAACTAGCGAAAAAGAGGTGTCGGAAATAACGGCGTCGATTAATAACCATCATAACTCGTCATCAGTCGATGATAACTTACCTAAAGACGCCGACAAAGTTGAACAGTCGTCGCCAAACCACACCGACGGTTTGGTCGGCAAGATTTGGATTCGAGATTTGCGTTCGATGATGACCGAAACGATGTTGGAGAGGTTCTACATAGTGTTTGGCGACCTTGGCATAAATCCAGCAGGAGCGGCCATTGTCAATGGTGTTCCGCCTTTAAGACCTACCTACATAAAGTCCGACCTCTCGACACCCAACGAACCGCCTTCGACAAGATGGAATTTGGAGCTTAGCGACGTGGTGAAAATCTACTGCAAGTACTTTACCAAACACGTGCAAGACACTATTGTCATTATCGCCAACATACTGAACATCATCTCGCTGTCAAACAAACACCACAAATTCCGAATGGACGAGTCGTTCAAAAAGAGAAGCGAAGCCGAGAAACTCAAAGAACGCTGCGACGCCAACAGAATACACGAGAAACACAAGCAGGTGCTAGAGACCCACCTGAAGCTCCATTTCGTCGACGTGGTTTCGAAAATCAGCGCCGACGACTTTGACTGCACGTTCCAAATGTTCTTCCTGAGCATCCTGACCGTGCTCCGAGTGCTTGACCAGCCGAAATTTAAGAAAGGCAGCATTTTCAAGAACCTGGTGCTGCTGTTGTGGAACAGCCTGAGGAGTTGCAATCTGGAGCACCGGAAAGTGTTCACCATGTTCCGGTCGAAATCGTTCCGGCCGGACTGTATCGAACTGATCAGCCTGATCGAGGACAGCCGAGAAACGTGTCCCGATATCATGGACCGTTTGGCGCTGTTCTTCATATCTACCATGGACACCAAGGATTTTCAAAAAGTCATCGAAGCGGTCACCAGCGACACCAGCGCCGATGTGCTGGCGACGTTGCTAGAAGAAGCTTCGAAAAACGTTCGCGAACATTCCAAATTGGTGGAGCCCAACAAGCGGTTTGCATCGCCCATGACGACCACCACCACTACAACGACTAATAACCATGCGACTCCTACCGTGCCAGCCGAAATCCCCAAAGTTGGCAATGATAATATGGTCAAACACTGGGTAATCACAAAAGCACCCAACGGAACTTACCAGTAAGTGTCTCTCAGCTTTATTTATCGTCGACCTAACCTAACCTTGTTTTTTTGTGATGCGAGAAAGAAGATAGTGTAAGTGAGGAGATAGGAGGAGAAGGAATGGGAAAGGAGAAAATAAATTGAAGGAACTGGAGGGGTTCAGTAGTAGTCAAATTCATGATTCAATATCTTTCCTTCATGGGGTGAAACATAGATTTTTCTACTCTCTTTAAATTAACCTTTTTTTTTTAAATTCTTTTCAGACCTTTGGCTATGGCGAATGATTACAAGACTCCGCGTGTCATCGTCAGTACTAGCGTCGATACGGCTTTGCACGCAATCGCTCCGTTGAACACGTTCTACGAGACTTTCTCGAATACGCTCACGAATGTTTCCGATGTGACGGTTCCCGTACAGTCTGCGACCAAACTGACCGTCGCTGCTCCGACTTCGGTCGCAAGCGGCACACTTGTGTCCGGCAAGTTTGTGGCGTATAACCCGAAAAATCACACCGTCAAACCTATTAACGCCACCAACCGCGAGGCCGCCACCATTGTGGTCGGCAACAAACAGTATCAGGTGTTCAGAAGTCACGTGAGAACCTTGACGACGGCTCAAGGCAAAACCAACGGTATCGTGCTCGCCCAGCAAATGCAAAAGCCTACCGAAGGGCCTACAAAGGTGAGTGAAAGATTTACATGACATTTCGCATTTATGCATTGAGAACTCATTGGCAACTGTCAATGCCCTTTCATTAAAGAGGTATCACTTTTCATATGTAAGCCATTGAAGGATCTCGGGATCATTTTCCAAACGAAAAACCTTTGACCTGGGACATAGGTATAGATCCTCCGACCCTCCTCAAAGCTTTAAACGTGTTAAAACTTTCACGGATTGAACTATTGGTTTGATCATTTTCGGATCTATTCATGTTGTCATGTTGACGTTTCGGTTAGGATCCATCATCTTCGGAGCTATTGCCACGATTCCACTGGCCATGAATACTGCATTCGCTCCGAATCGTGGACTAACTAGACATAAATAGTCAATGGATCCGAAAATGGTCAAACTCCTCTAAGTTATCGGAAAATGTCAACAATCAACTGTTGTAGCCCTCAAGTAACTCTTTCGGTATTTCTCCAAGATCCGTGGTTGCAAAAAGGGTTCGCCTTACCTATGAACATCCCAAACTTCCTTTCATCCAACCAAAATCGGTCATGTTGTAAGTGGCTTCCCGCTAAATTTTGGGTCAGGGAATAAGCTATGTCCGCTTTCTGGTCAACCATCAAAGCCTTAGAGTGAATCTAGTTCAACGCTATCCGTTTATTTTTTCTGACCCCAGACTCTTGCGACTAGTTCGTCTTGACATTCGAGCGATTTCTGATAATTATCAAGGGTCAATCAAATGCGTGACGTCAAAGGAGGGTCATGATGAACTTGCGAAAGATCATCAAGATGGGCGGTTTAGTAGATTAAGTTATGTTGATTTGTAATGACAGATTTGTTAGTCAAGTTGGATCCATACCTCTTTTACATTGAGATGCAATTTATAGGAATAAGCGTTTGCGTTGAGAAGCACTTGCATTCTTTTGATTTCGTGTTTGACACTTGATGGATGCACGCCGTTATCATCCTCGTTTCGTTACGTAAGAGTACTCTCAGTGCTATCTCTTAACAAACTTCAAGTGGACATAAATAACAGATAGCTTCTACTAATCCTTTCGAGATTCACTGTGTCTCATCGTCTGGAATTACTTTACGCTTTCAACTCGTTCAAGGTTGCTAATAATCATCAAAGCATCGTCGTCGAGCACATGAGTTGACTCAGTACGATGACTAAGGGGTTATTAGCCTATACTTTGGTTTACGTTATAACGTTAAACAATTTAGAACAGTAGTATTAGGGGTATTTCACTGAAAGTAGTACATTTGTGTCCATGACAAATCATGAGTCATTATCATTATTTTTGACATGTCTTAAAACAATTCATTCATTAGCAAAATGTGTCAATCAGAATCATTAATTTGCTCCAATAGCTAATAAAAAAAAAATCAATTGACAGGTATTTTCTCACACCCCTGGCTTAAAGTTTTTGGCTGGCCTTCTCAAGGTTGCTCCTGACATAGTGGTGTAATCATAAGCAGATATTGGATAATCGTACATCAAGCATTGGTTCAATTTTGTGTGATAGTACTTTGCTCTCGTGTTCTATGTAATGCTTTTGGGGACTTTATTTTTGATTGTCCTCGTCAATGTGGTCAATGTCAAACCTTGTCTATTGGTCGTCATAGCCTTATGTTTGCGATATCCATTCCTTCTCTTGCAAGTGTTGTCAATTGGAAGATTGGGGTTAGGTTTCTTGTAAAGAGTTATTTCTAGTAATGCGACAAACGACTTGGATTAGATCAACGATGATGGCAAAAACGTCGTATATGCTCAGTGAATTCCGTTCCAATCAAATTCTCCAAAGGGTTAGGTTAGGTGTTACCTTAAGTAGACGATACGATGATTCAATCTATGAGGACAGATCTGATTTCTGATCTACAGGCTTGCTTCACGAATACATTGATCCGAGTCATGACCCAAGCTTCTCATCGAAGTCGAAAATTACAATCGCCTGTACTTTCCTTTTCTAAATTTATAATTCGTTTTTTTTTCAGTGTTTCACCAAGAACTGCAATGAAGTGGCGACCATCATGTGCAGCACGTGCACGTCGGTGAAATATTGCTCGCACAACTGTCAAGTGAGTGCTGCAAAGCTTAACTTTATCGTACTTACCTAATGAGGTCGGTGAAGTTTTTGTACTAACGAATCGTATGGTTTGTGATTGTTTTTCAGAGGGTTGATTGGTACGAAAACCATATTCACAAATGCGAACAACTGCAGAAGGTGAAACAACAACAAAGTGCCTAAACGGATTTGCCGACCTAAGTTGTTGCATATTATGTATCATAAATTATATATGTATATTTATTTATAAATAAGCATAATAGATCTAAAGAATGAAAAAGCATGTGATAAATGTACAAAAAAACGACAGACGAAAAAACATTCATAATAATAAGTTTTAGAGAGTTTATTATTTAATTGATGTTATTAGTAATCATATTATGTATGTTAGTTAATTTCATTTTACAAGTGGTCGCAAAATTGTTATTTGTTACAGACTGTTAAATTATTTCTAGTCGAATTCACAGGTACGTTTTCAATATATATTCTGTTTTTTTTTGTTCACCGGCTACAGACGTTCTGGTCTTGGAGTACAAATAACGTTGAAATTGTAATTTATTGTAAATAATAATAATAGTAATAATATAGTAATGTATTTATTTTGATTCATAATAATATTAATTTGAAGACTGCTTTTACCGAGCGAGTTGCATTTAATTATTAATTACCTTTACTTACTCTTGCCCGACCTTTTTCCTTTCCTCGTTGAACCTGGCTTTTTTGTTACTTTTACTATAGAACTATTGTTGGACATGAAAATATGAATTTCTAAAAAAAAACTCGACGAAATAAGAGAAAACGAAAAAATTCATTCGACCGGAAGAGGAAAGTTTAGAGTAGAAACATGTTGTATGCATATTACAAATATTGGATTGTGTGAAAAACAAAATGTAAAGGAAGACTTAAAAAAAAAGTATGAACATTTATATATAAATCAACTTTCCACCGAAAAGGAAATACACATTTAAATGTTGGGTACACAATTTTATAATGTTGCTTACAAAAATTCACCGACTTATGAGACTTGCCTGATCAAGCTTGACGTTTAACATCAACCTTAAAGGCGAAATTAATTATATTATAAACCTAACCTAACCTTCCACACCATTAATCTTATCTTTTATCACTGATTCCTTATCAGCTGTCTCTTATCAAACATGACCGATTTAGTGACGCTAAAATGTTTTATGTCAAATTGAATTCAAAAGCAATAACCGTTGTTTCGAACATCACGGCTGATATCAATACCGGATTTCTGGATTAAATAATCCTTAATCCAGTAGGATTTAAAGATGTAAATGTAATTCGTAATCACTTTGCAAAAGATTACGGATTGTAATCCGTTTTGCCCGTGTCTGGTTTTGATCGGTTGAAACAAAATTTGTAATCATCTACTGCGTTTAAAGATGTCACCACCAACGACCGCCAAATAGATAAATGTATAACCTATACAAAGCAAAGTATAAGTATATATTTTTAAACTATATTTGATAAAACTTCGATGCGGACCTGAAAATATATTGTTTTCACAAAGGTTTGTTTTTATTTTTGTGTATGGACCCACGTTATCTTCAAAATTGCTGAACCCATTCCAATAATCCATTCCAGTGCACAGGATACAAATATCTATGTGACACTTTTACATTCGGTTAGAGATGAGAGACAAGTGATAAGAGATAACAGATGTACAAAATCATATCCGCAATTCAATGTTTTTCCGCGGAACCGAGAAAATAACTAGTTTTTTTTTTCAATTATTGTTTTTAATTAATTGCTTTATATATATATATATATATATACATTATAATTGTGGGTCCTTTGTCCTCCATATGTTTCACACGGTGGTGACGGCTCGTTCAAACCGTAGTTGTTTGTTTGTGTAAATCTCACGCCGGAAACAATATAATACATCATAATAATTGTTATTAAACGAATTTTGTAAAACTTAAATACAGCCTTGTACGCTATTGTGTTCTTGAAGCGCATTTACTCGACTGGCAGACATTGGAGCTGTTTTCGAATTAACGGTTGACGTTCACACCATAAAGTCAGTAAAAAAAAAATAATACTATTGCCGGTACAGTTAGTTATTTAAGATAGATTTAGTACTGAAAAAAGATAATTATCGTTAGTTGTTACTTGTGAATTTTTTTTTACCACCTAGGTAAATTATTATAGTTGAGAAATATTATAAAATTGCTATTATTGTAAGAGCTATTAAGACATTAAATTATCTCGATTACCATATTGTATTTTTACATAACTTTTTGTCAGAAAAATGTGTTCTTTGTCTTGGATAACTTATTGTTCTTTGGGCCCACAAAGATCTCGTATATTACCAGAGAAATAACCTGAGACCCATTTATAACACGAATAAATTATTTTATTAAGGTCCTTACTATTTTTAATACATTTGTAACATATGTTTAATGTGAGTGTCTTACAAAAAAATTATTATTTGGTTTTTCTCGAAGCCATCATTTTTCCCTTTGACAGGAAAACGCCTCACATATCATTATCAACATCGTTAAAATTATCATCATATTATCACAGATAAGATAAAACCAGATGGTGCACTTCTGGATTTCTTATCTGTGATATTATTATCATTATCAATATTGATAATGATAAAAATAATAAATATGATAGTACCACATGCAGAGTTGTGCATTGTTATTCAAGTAAAAGTTATTCAAATAATTTTAAAAATAAAACTATAGAATGAAATACCGATTAGAATAATTAAAAACTTCATTACTCGAATAATATTTAAAAATATTAATTTAATAGTTTGCAAGTGTTCTTTTTTTTTTCAATTATATTTGAAAATATAATTCCTTATAAGTATAATTTATATTTAGAAAATATACAAAACCGGTAAATTTATAGAAAGACAATTTTTTTGTACTCCAATAAAATATGAAATGTCTATTCGAATAAGAATTTGCACAACTCTGACCACAAGTTAACGATTATGATAACATTGATAAAAATATAAAAGGACATTGATAACAATGATATTAATAATCATAATAACAATAATGATATCCATTTTCAATGATATTGATAGTGATAATAGTGTCGATGATTTTTTTGTTTATAAAATAATAATGAACATTTTTATAATTAAAACCTAAAGGCGCTATCGAAAATGAAAAAAATGTAGCTGGTGCTGTTGTTTTTTACAGTACTACCACTCTAAAATAACGCACAAACGTCCAAAGTCGGTCGCTGGTGATTTTCAAAACTGGCTCTAACCCGTCGTTAAAGCTGCCACTACATTGTTATATTAATTATTACACATATAATATTATTGTAAGTATAGTATTACTCAGTGATACTGTATTAGTATACATTACAGTACATTTTATTATAACATAATTATATTTATACTAATATACTTTGTTCTTTCTTTTTTTTCGCCTTCTTCTTTTTCCCATCCACATTCATTTCCTTTACCGTTTTTCTATCATCTTACTTCACAACAAGCTCAAATTATCTCAAATTCTGATCACCCTGGTGATATTAATTATACAATTTTTCGTTTTGTTTTGTTCATCAAATCGTTAATTTTTTTTATTATTATTATCATCATTTCTTTTTTTTTACATTTGTAAGTCAATTATGAATACATTTAAATTAAATAAAAAAATTACTAAACTTAAAAGATAATAATAATAGTACACAGTACACAGTATTTACACAAACTCACGTCGTTATAGGTCTAAGTTAAGGTAAAAAAAAAAAAAAAACAATCATATCATCATCGAGGAATGAGTATTCGTCAAAAAATGGTCAGGGGGAAGGGGACATAGAAAGGGGGGGGGGGGGTGAGAGGGCGATAAAAGTACAAAAGTTTTATTCTCTATTTTAAACGATATAAATTTAAAAAAGTAATAATAAATAGAGGTAGTTTCGCGTTTTTTTTATTTTTTTTTACAATAAATTACAAATAGACAAAAAAAAAACGAAAACGGTTAATAGGTAATGATTGTATTATATAAAAAAAAACAAGTAAGTCAGAAGCAAGACGGGTTGAAGAAGACACACGGTTGGCGGGGGGTGGGAAGGAGCGAGTTGTGGATTTTCATTATATTTTTTTTGTATTTGCGTTTTTGTAAAACAACTTATTTTTGCGATTTCGATTAGGAAATATTTTATTTTGTACTCGGGAGAGGGGGTGGCGGTTTTTTTTGTTTGTTTGTTTCATTCAGTTTTCAGTTGTTTGGTCGGCGGTTCGCTGCTCTGCGAATTTGAATCCTCCGAAAAGGTCAATTGGTGAGCCACGAATTCGGTGGGTTCTTGAGAATGGGAATCGCTCACCGAGAAGGCTATAAATAAGACACAAATAAGAGAATTCGATTAACGAACGGTTTTAGAAAAATAAACAACAGAGGACTACTACTCACAAGTGTTGGAGTCGTCGGCCATGGCGACGAAATTCGACGGCATCTCCATCGGTCTCTTGCCCAATATGTTCTCCTTGTTGGCGTGCGAATGCTCCTTGGACTTCTTTTTCTGTCGAGAAAAGAATAAAATCAAAATAATCGTTGTTTACAGTCAAACCAGCAGCAAGCAAAGTATTAGCAGAGGCACAGAAAGTACACTGAACTCAATATACTATGGAACGCTCATTGCCTATAGTCGGCTGCTTATGAAAATGTCCCCCCCGGGTAGGAGGCTACCATTTTGTGTACTTTTATTGTTCTATCCATGATATTTATTGTTTTTTCTATGATTTATCATATATATATATATGATAAGGTTATCATATATATATGATAACCTGTTATCACAGAATAGATAAAATTATCATCACCTAACCTAACATTTTAAGACATCATAGAAAAATGACGTATCATTTTTACTTTCTATAAAAATGTACACAAAATGGCTGCCTCCCAGGTGGGGTCATTTTTCAATCTGAACGCGCGTTCCATACATTGAATTCAGTGTCTTAATGCACCAAAAAAACACTTATACATTAAAGACAAACGATCAATCCTAATTATGTCCTCACGTCCTAGTATTATAAATAATTTATATAAGATATTTTTCTTCTTTTTTTTTTTTATGTAAAAAAACTGGGTTTGTAATTAATTAACATGGTCGAAATGTATAAAAAAACAGTTTTTTCTTTAGACCGCGTGCAATCCCCTTAAATGAGGATATTATTTACAAAGAAAATGCCTTGGACTTAAATTAAGACGGTTTACCATCTCATACTAGAATGGCTTTTTCTTCATTCGTCGTGGCCTGTTTCATTGTAATACTTTGTCTAAAACTTTGTCCATTTTCTTTTTCATATTCTTCTTTGCCTTATTCCTTGTAAAATTTGGCCATCAATCAAATCTTCTCTCTCTCTATCTCGTCCTGTTATCTTCTTAGGTTTACCTCGACCTCTAATCTCTCTCTCACTACCTCATTTCATTTCCTTCTTTTATAATGCACGACCATCTCAATCTATCCTTATTTTTCCTCCATTTCACTATAGTTAAAAAGACATCATTCAAGTTATATCATTCAACATAACAAGCTTAGGTTAGGTTTGATTATGTTGGTTAGATGGTTTTTAGATTCTATTGCGTGTAAACTCAAACAGAAATTTGTTTTCCATCTATAAAAATAGAAATGTATTTTTTTTGAAAAAATTAAATTGAATTTATAAATAAAACAATATATATATATTTATATATAAATATATATATATTTTTTTATCAAAACAATAATTTCAAATAAATAATTAATAATTTAAACAAACATATTAATAATCAACAAATTTTCAATTTCCAACTAGAATAATTTTTTTGGTAAAATAAAAATTTAAAACTATATATAAATAAAAGATAAAACAACATGGTCGAACAAATATTTATATCTATTTAAAAAATATCATTGAAGTAGTATGTTGTTAATTTAATAAAATGTCATTCGAAGTTCTAACTAATATTATTATTCAAGTAATACAACATTAATATGGACTGTCAACTGAATGTGAAGTAAATACAAATTTACAATTTCAAAATGATTAAATTAGTTAGAACTACATTAAATAGTAATTTATTGTTTCAATTAATTGTTTTTTTGTAAAGTGTTATTAATTTGTTTATTTTATTTAAATAACAAATTATTTGTGTAAATAATTGTAAATGTGTTTAAATGCAATTTTGATTGTTATTGACGATCGTTCGAATGAAAATATTATAATATTTTAAATTATTATTTGGATCATAAATCAATTTTAAATTGTATAATTTTATGTTGAACACACTATATTATGTATAACATTGATTGAGATTTCATTCAAACAATATTTTTTTAATGCTCAGCTTTGAAAAATAATAAATTTAAAGAAAACCAAGTCATGTAAATAATACTACAACGAGGTTATTCAAATTTATAAGCCCCCTCCAAAAAAAAATATTTCACCTATTTTATAGATGGAAAACAAATTTTGGTATGAGTTTTACATGCAATAGAATCTAAACAACATGAGCAAACTTAACCTATTATGTTGAAATATATGCTAAAAATGATTTCTTGATTTGATTGATGGCCAAATTTTCCAAGGAATGAGGCAAAGAAGACTATGAAAAAAAAAATGGACAAAGTTTTAGACAAAGTATTACAATGAAACGTCCATGAATGAAGAAAAAGCCATTCTAGTATGAGATTATTATAGAGATGATCTTTTAACTTGAATACTTATTTATCTTAACAGAAATAATAATTAAAGTTAAAAAAATTTCAACTGTTAAAAGTCATATAAATATTTATCTACTTTAAAAAAATTGAATTTGAAAAAACTGCATTTTTTTAAATATAATATAGTATATAAATATGTATATCATGTGAGTATTTTATAAAAAAAAAAAAAAACAATTATTTATAACTAATTCTATTGTATAATATATCATTTTTTATTGTTATTAAGTTTTTTCCCTTTTTTTATTACGATTATTACTACTAACAATTATTTAAAAATATTAGGTATTTAAACTTGTTAAAAAAAAATAAATACAAATATATTATCTGAATTTTTATTTAAATAATAATTAGGTTTGGAATCGAGTAATAAAAACTTAAAATACAAGCAATTGGATCGCAAGTGGCAAAAACAAACCACTATTTTACTTGATCGATAAAATAGACACCTTCTCCTCAGCTTGACGTCAAAATCTGATACGTTGAGCGATTTCTACTTTTATGAAAACCATTACAAGAATAGTATCGAAAATCCTAACCTTACAACATATCGTCCTAATATAACTGTGACAACGCTGATGATGGCATTGTGATAACCTCTGCCTTTCTTAAAATCGTCATTAGGCGACTGACGTTAAGCTTAATTGATTTATAATTAACCGTCGTGAGATATTGCAATAAACGTTAGATAAATCTAAAAAACGACTGGCACATAAAGAAAAATATGTATTAATAATAATAACTGGTTTTTAATAGAGTAATTTAAATTAGAAAAAAACCATAATATGAAAACAAAATAAAAATAAATTCTTTAATGATTGGTTTGACTTGATAACACAAGGTACTTGACGATTGGGTTTAAGCAAACGGATTTAATGAGAAATATGGAACGCGACAACACGTCTTAGTCTACGTTAAGATTTTTGGCGAAGAATTTATAAAATGAAAATATTTTTCCTTAGGAAAAGAAAAACAAAAATTATAATAATCTTTATCGTTACAAACCTGATCGTTGGATATTATCGGAACCCATTTGTAAATTTTCATGGTAGTCTCTCCGATCGTTACCCATTTCTTTTCCCTGAAAAAAAAAATAAAAACTATTATAAAAAGTTTTAATTTTAATAGTGTAGAATTTTAAAAATAAATATCATTAGAATATTTTGTTTAGTTGGTTATAGAAAAAAACGAGACTATTTTAAATAGACAAGTTGTCAGTTAAATTTTAAAACACAATTACTAAAAAAAAAACATCCAACCGCTCGCAACGCAAAATATGCTATACGGATTTTACAACATCGTCTTCTATTCGACACAAATTAATTGTTACGCAAACTTTGTTTTAAATATTTAACTGACAAAATATGATTTAAATTCAAAGGTAACAACAACGAATGAATATGAATTGTAATGTTTTTACATTGTACGAGTCTGTCATATAGCGCTACGGTGTTAGAATTGTGGTATGTAAACAAACTGTATTTATAGTTTGATACGGCAAGAAAAAAGTCAACAGTTTATGATAAATAGCGTTTGGACTTAATAGAAAGAATGATTTAACAATTGCCCATTGTTTTCAAACCTTTATCATTGATCATAATGTACATGTCTGCACAATTTATTATTTTTTAATAAAATTCACATTCGGTTAGGTTAGGTATGTATAATTTAAGTGGTTATGATGATTAATAAATACCAAAAACACCTATGTATTATTAGAAATTAAAATAACACGACATGCAATGCATAACTAATTTATATACAAACTAAGGCAATGAAATCACCAATTATATTGTCATTGTATCTACAAAAGAAAAAAACAATATTACCTACACTTGTTCTAAAATCATTTCTTGAAACTTATGTTGTTTTTTCTTCCCTTAAATATAAGTGTCATTTAATTTCTCTTTGAAACTTAGTTTAAAAATTTGCACATAGAGTTCTCAATTTTTTTTTTAACAAATTCTTGAACATTTTAACAAACATAAACGTATACATATACAAATGAATGCACAACGAAAAAAGATAGGGACGACTTAATCTAAAATCCATGTTAGAAAGGTTTTTTTTGTGTTACTCGAGCCCAATAAACCTCTATTTTTTTATTTAATACCAATCGTTCGGTAGAGATTTTTTATTTGTGGAAAATTTACCCTTTCCTTCCTAGGTCTCTAACATTTTTATCTCAAAAATTGTATTTACAATCAGGAAAATTCTAGTTTTAACACCATTTATCTACTTTTTCCATCACGAGATGGTTTCTTGATAAATTCGCTGACGGCTGGTCAGTCCGTCGCCGGACATGGGGATGACGACAATAATCTACAGCCGGGTCGACACTAAGGCAACATTGATTATCGAAACACGAAAGCAAATAGGGCGGCAACATATTGCGATATGGTAAGTTGCTAACTTAGTGTGGACAGGGCTTAAACTTAACGCACTGACGCTTCCCCCCACACGGAATCCGATTGAGGCTATACTTTTGCCGCGCCTCGTCGAGGAGGTACCCGAGGACTATTGTCACGGTGTAAACGAAAAATGATTATCTCCTGCGCAAGTATTAGCTCTTCGTGCACCTACATTGGGCGACGGGCACAAAGCGCTGCACGCTACATTACGGCGACGACAGAACTGTTTAGCGTAGCGCTACGTTACGACGGCTTCGGCAACAATCGGCGTGGACTTACCATCGGCGGACCTTGTCCACCACTTGCATTACTCTCTTGATGTCATCCTTGGCTCTGCTTCTGGTCTCTGCTCGCACCGACCGAGACATCATAATCTGCCCAACACAACCGAACGTTGGTGCGACGCTGGAAACAAACGGCGGCGGCGGTGGACGGAGGATTTAATGCACTTTCCCACCAACAGCTGTGGCTGGAAAAGGGTTTGCGAGCATCGAAAATGGCCAACAGCCCGGCGATCCGTACACGGGGCGAAATTGCGGATAACGCGCGGTGTAAACAAACACAAACACAACGACAATAAATAAAATATGTATATAGCCGATCGATAGTGCGAAACGTTATCACCTTATTGGACGCCGCCGACGGTCGCCACCGAATCACGTGGCGCGCTCTGTTGACCGGGTGAGCGGTTACCTCCGGCTTACCATGGATACCCAACTAGCTGCTGCTGCTGATAATACAACTATACAACCAGATAGCTGCTGTCGACAATGTTTAGACTGATAAGGATTGTTTGCCTACCGCAAAAATGATTTTCCATCATCGTAGGTACCATGGATACTGGATATTATATATAATAAACTAGATTGCAAACTGCGATTACAATGGAAGTCGACGTCGGCCGTTTTTGTGGGATTAATGTATGTATAAAATAATATATAATATTATATCTGTGACTGTGCTATCAACTTAACTTATAATCAGTGATAACAGTTGTAATAAACATGTGATAAAGGTGTTATTCCCACAAAGATAGCGGAAAATGGTAACTTAAATTAACAATATTCAGTAAACATCTAGAACGCGATTTGACAAAATCAAAATATAATTATGTTATTTAAATAGGTATTGTAACAATATTACGATTACCTATTATTTTCCTACGTTTTTTTTAATTAGTATTTGTATCGTTTTTAATATATGCAATAGTTACAAAAAATATTAAATATCGAACGCACATTTAATTTTCAAGTCCCAATTTTAAATAAAACATACAGTTTTTATAAGTTTACATTTATTTCCCTTATGCATTTTTCGTCCACTCTGAAATTTTAGATTTAATCTTTGATTTTAAATGAATATTCGTCGTATAAGGCAAAGAAAAAAGGTACAAACTACAATCCAAATAATGTAATATAATTTAAAACTGCCTTGAATCTTAATTTAATAAATCAAATTCCTTAAATTAACATAATAATAATATTGTTTTAATTTTATAATCATTACTAATTTGTGGTAGTATGGTAATAATAAACTAGACTATATGAATATTCAGTTCAAACCTGATTTGATAATAATTAATTTATATTTTCTCCACGTCTTCCAGTTTGATTTCGTTTATGTACTCCATGAGTGACCGAATGATGCCGAAGTCGACACCTATGAACATCCGACCCATATAGACCAAGAACACTCTAGTGTTTTCCAAGCTGTTGTACTCGATCCGTTCACAGCTAGTTGTAACAGTTTCCCAACCCGTTAAAACATAATCCTTGGAAGTTTCATAAGGTATTCTAAACGCTCTATCGTCTACATTAAACGGTTCGATGGGTTGACACCCGAGAGGCAGACAAAGCGATACCAGTGTTGAGTGTGCATAGTCAACCACACTGTCTATCTTCTGGGTTCCTTGAGAGAGATTAGTGATGGCAGTAAGCAAGCCCCTTACGTGTGGATCTTTGATCAAGTTTAACATGTTACCGAATTGTTCCACCACTTTGGACCATTTTCGCACGTAATGCACGAATTGTGTTGAACCTTCTGAATATTGCAGTTGTAGGTACTTCATGTGTATTAACGTCAGCCGGGACATGACAACTTTTAGAATTGAAAAGTTCAGCGTATAGTATGTTTTTAAATTTCTCAGGTGGTCGGTGTCCCAATCCAGTGTATGCGCGTCGAGACAAGCTTTTTCCAATCGCACTTTAGTCACGTCCGACCATCTCATTTGCAAGTTGAATTCATACATTAAATCATGTGTAAACGACTTTCTCGAATCCATGTTGTTCATGTAAAATCTTTTGATTTTCAATTTTTTCATAAACTCTTCGTTGAACGACTTTGAACATATATTGTTTTTGATTATCAGATCTTTGGCTAAATGATAGTTTTGGTACACCAAATCTTTCAAATCGTCACATGTTGGTGGATTAGGTTTTGACGTAATCAATTTGCCGAAATTATCATACGAATTACCCTTACGGCATCCGGTTAGGTCTTTACGCAGTTGTTGGATGATAAAGTTGTGCGTGGTCACAAGCTTTTCATAGTCTACCCGTACACCCCTTGAATTTGTTGTAGATAAACCGGGCACTAAATTCAAGTACAAATGTAGTAGCCACAACGATCCCATACGCCTTACTTGTACACTGTACAATGAAGCTATCTGATGTTTTATAGTAAAAGTGTAATTACTTTGGTTGACAGCGTGCAGTATCATTTGCGTATTGTATGCAGGCCCGTTTAAAATCTGCATTAGCAGCATGTGTGTTAACCCGTTCAACATGTACGCGCATTTCAAATCATCGTGACGGTTACGTCTGACTAGATCATTGCTGGAATAATCATCATACCCGGTTACCAATAATAATTGTACTGATTGGCAAAACAACAACAGCACCAAGCCCAAAACGATTTGCTTCTGTGAGGGCACCATATTTCTGACTGAAGTAACTAGAACTAATATTGCTTTGTGATCCGGATATTTTATTCGTATAATATATTTGTTGATACAATATTCATTAACTGTCTATCACACATTTAATAATATGATTTTCATTAGTCTGAAATTTAGTTAGAAAATTTGTCACGTGTACTAAAACTTATTAACTGAAAGCGATTGTATGGTTTGCTGGATTATTATTTGTATTTGAATGACGTGTGTTCATGCCACCTAAATTTAAAGAAACTACTGCTATTGCTTATTTGATATTTGTTCAGAGACTTTAGACCACATTTTTTTTAACGTTTCGAAAAGAGTGTGTCATGTTGTTGTGATGGATAATGAAGATGGAAACACTTGATTTATTAAGACATTTTTATTTCTGAACCGATTAATGCAAAAGGGCCTTATTTCCATACCAACACAAACGAGTTGATTATGTTTTTTGTTCGTATTTTTTTTAAAGCATCAATGTACGTTAAAAGGGTCAACTCGGTCAAGTCAAAATAGGATGTATGCTTTGAGTATACTACGAAGTGACAGAACAGAGGAGAATTTAGGAAGACAGATACGATAAAGTACAGGCAAAGGGATACTAGTATTAAAAGTAGATAGCTAACCACACTATATATGTTCTTTAAGTCTTGTGATAAAAATAAAGTAATAAGCCATACATAACCATTACTTGTGAACTTATAATTTAAAAATGTATAGTTTATAAGTAAGTAATAAACAAAAATCAAACTATAACTGCTATGTAGTTAATTGCAATTCAACTTTTCAAATGCACCAGATGTTGTGTTCTACAATTTTCTGAATAGACCACATGCAAAATTAATTTGGTTTCCATTATTCAAATCTAGAATGTATAGGTGGTTTTAAAAAGTAGATTTTCGAATTTAAATCTCTACGCTCCCTACAAAGGTTTCTAAATACACTAAAAAATATTGAAATATATGAATTTTAACCCGTGCCCCACATGGGTTGAAGTTTCCATGGGATTTAAAATAGGATTTCGACACTTGTGCACAAATCAATGCACAAGTTTTTTCCTACTCCTTAGTTTTAGCTGAAGTTTTAACACTATACCCAAAAAAGTTCATACCTGTCTAAATTGTTGGGTCGTTCTCTGGATTTTTAAATCGAAATTATATTCTTTAATATGGAACGTAAAACAAACCCATCTTTTTTGTGTTTATTAAATTAAGGGTAATGAAAGCGGTTTGTTTTTTGTTTATATCTCAGAACAAAAATTTGACCGTCAACATTTTGGCTACTCGGTTATGTTGGAAACGAATATTTTGTTTTTTTAATATGTTAACAAAATGATTTTTACTATTGTCAAAATTTCAAATTTCATTTATTCAATTGCGATAAATTGAGTTTTTCAAATCATAATCGGGTTCCAGTTAAATGTTATTATCTCTTATCCGTTTTTCTGCCCATCAAATTGCGCTATTGCGTTAGCTAGTGCCATCTAGCGGATTTAATATTTCCTAATTTACTATTTCAACACCACTAGTGTATTGATTTTTTCTCGAAACAAAGTTTCAGTATAATTTCTGTGCTAAAGTTGTCAATAGCAATTCGATGATACCGGAGAAGTTTGTCAGGATAAAATTACCCGTTTAGTTAAAACCAAATTCCATTATAAATCAGGTGGACACTAATTAGATTTTCATTTACTCTACTTTTGGTATTACAATATAAAGGTTATTGTTAGTGGTCGACATAAAAACCTATAACTTATTCAATAAAATTACACATAAACGAATATATATTTTATCTTGTAAATTCAAAAACAAAAAACCCAATAAATACATATTTTTATTTAGGATACCTAAACAAATATAAAATAAACTATTGTTTTTTATTGTAATGCCACCACATCACGTACGTGTATTGTAAACCGACGAATCGCTAAATTACCGAGAAACGAACACATTACGATTAAATTATTATTTCTTCATTTGCGATATTTCGTTTCTTCAAAAAGCATCGAGCAAACCAGACTTCTTTCCATCCAGTCATAGAATTTTACACAGAATTATGGACCACTCCGCAATACCCAAGAACATTGTATTTTGTTTGGTGCTGTTCTTTTGCCAATCAGTACACCTATTGGAAACCGGGTACAAATACCCAAGCAATGAAATTATCGAAAAAGATCGTCTCTATGAGGATTTGAAATGCGCGTACCTGTATATTGGATTAACACACATGCTGCTTACGCGAGTTTCAATTGGACCTAAATATAATACGCCAATAGAACTGTTGGCCGGCGACGTTGGTGATTATAAAAGTTGCGTTGGATACCAGATGGCTTCTTTGTACAGTTTAGAAATAAGGAATATCGGATCCTTGTGGCTACTGCATTTGTTCGTGAATGTAGAACATGGATTCGCTGTGCATTCAAAGGATTTACCGGCAGACTATCTGAGACTTGTGACCACACACGAGTGTGTCATAAAAAAAATGATTAAAGAGCTAAACGGATGCCGTGAAGGTAACCATTATAATATGTTCGATAAAATGATTGACTTGAACTCTGATCCGACACAAAATGAGTTGAAAGATATGGTGCGCGACAACAATTATGCGGCCAGAGGACTGCTGAAAAGAAACAAAATTGGTGCGAATTCGTTTAATGAT